TAATTTTAATAACACTTGTGGGGTAAATGCTCTGATAGTTGTATTTAAAATTGGCATCACACCATATAGTGAGGGATGGCAACATTTAGAATTTGGTATTTTAATTTCCCTTTGTTTAGATATTAAACAGCAAATAAAAACCATCATGACAGGCCTCCCCTGGTGGCGCAGCGGTTGAGCGCTAGGCTGCGAGGCTGCCTGCAGCCTCTGCAGCGCCCGTTCATTCCCTGGCCTCCAGGGAGGGTCCCACAAAAAAACAAAACAAAACAAAACAAAACATTATGACAAGAGAGAGAACTTAAGGAAAGGAAAAACCTTAAAAATCGCTGCCTTTAGCATGATGTTCTCCTGCTTTTCGAGTGAGGGGCCTACCTTCTCATTTGCGTGGGCTCCACAAAGTACATAGCTGGCTCTGAGGACTTGTTAAAACCCATTAGCTTCCAGGAGAGCAAGGATATATACTAAAAGATTGCTGAGGCTTTGGGTGCTGAGGCCAGGTAAGAGATTTTCTGTTCAGCATTGTCTACTGCTTGGCTACCCAGAGCACTGGAAGTAATCAACTTCATTAGTAAGAAAATCATCCCCTCTAAGTTTGTCAGTACTTACAAGCCTATAGGAAAGAGACTGAGATCTAAACACGAATAATTGTATCTTCATTTGCAGTGAAAATTGAGTGACACAAAACCTGGAATTGTATTCTTATTTTTTCCCATTAGAGATATTGTGCAAGGACCCAAGTCAAACATTTAAGTTATTCTGGTATAAACAGTTCTTGGTTGCAGACCACAGCCTCAGAGCAGAGCAGAGTATATACAGCACTGGCATAAAAATAGACACTATCAAAGGAACAGAATTGAAAGCCCAGAGATAAATCCAAGCATATGTGTAGGGGCAGGATGAGCACAGGGCAGGTTATCTATGATCCGCCAGATGGGGTAAAGGAGGAGTCGTGGAGCCCTCAGTGGCTTTCTCAGGCTTTTACTGACCTTTACATGCAGTGTGGCAAACGGGTACAGGACAGGCAGGGGGGCCAGGGGGCCAGGAGGCCAGTAGGCCTCTAAGCCCCCTGCAAGTCCTCACTCCGGGCCTCCCTGGTTTGTTTCGCCCCTGTCTCTTCTGCTTCTCCTTCTCTTGGTGACTATAAGGTAGGTTGCAACAATGTAACAATTGCAGGTGCCCCAACCAGGCAGGGCAATCCTAATGGTGGGAGGGCAGAAAAGCCTGAAAAACCATTTACCCTACGATGTGTCAAGACTTAATTCATGACAAGGGAGCCACTACCATGCAATAGCAGGAAAGGAGTCTTTTTAACAAAGGGTGCTGGAAAAAGTGGACAACCACCTATAAAAGGATGAAGTTGGCTCATTCTCCAACTCCATGCACAAAAATAAAATACATTAAAGGGGACTCCCTAGTGGCGCAAGGGGTGAAGCATTGGCACTGTGAAGCAATCCGCAGCCACTGCAGCATGAGTTTGATCCCCAGCCAGCAAGGTGACCCACATGGCACAGCAGACCTCTCCTTCAGCAGTATATTTCAGTAGATCTGCCTTTCTGTTCCCGGCTTTGTCTCTGGTGAGTCCTCTCAACCCCCTCACGGCACCTCTGACCTGCATACCAGCTCTTGTATGCATAAAACAATAAATCTTAAAAAAAATTCAAATAAAATAAAATGGATTAAAGACTTAAATGTAAGACCTGCAACAATAAAATATATGGAAGAAAATCTTTCATGAAATCTACAATAAAGATGTTTTTGGAGAATTTCAACACCTACAACAAAGGAAATAAAAGCAAAAATAAACATTTGGGATTATCTCAAATTAAAAAGCTTTTACACAATGAAAGAAAATATAAGTAGATTAAGAAGACACCTCAATGAATAGGAGGAAATACTTGAATATTACACAGTGACAGGAGCTTAATAGTCAAGATATCCAAGATAAATATCCAAGATAAAATGCTAACACAATTTTACAATAAAAATCTCAGTTAATAAATAGGCAATAGAGATGAAGAATTTACCAATAAAAGAGCTCCAGAGAGCCAAAAGAAATTGAAAAAAAGTCTTTTTTTTTTTTTTGCTTTTAAGGGAGAGACAGATCAAAACCTCAATGAGATATCATCTCATACCTGTGAGAATATCGGTGCAGCCACTATGGAAAGTGATCTAGAATTACTTTAAAAAATTAAAAATGGATATTAAAAATTATGTGCTCTCATATTTCTTGCAACATTGTTTACAATAGCTCAGACATGGACACAACCAATGTGCTGGCTGAGAGAGGGCAGGTTCAGAATTGATCTGTCTACGCAGTGCATAGTATTGTCACAATTTTAAAATAAAATAACAAAATACAAGGAAGTATGAGGGAAGTATAGTAAAAGCACATCAGAATCACAAAGACAAACAGCAGACATTTACAAAGTGGACGGTTTATCAAAGCATAATACTAGAAGAGACCATGGAACACCAATAAATGAAATGAGTCCTGTGTGGTCAGAAGGGTGGAAGGAGGGAGAAAGAGTTAAACAGGCATAAGGGATGATAGTGGGGAAATTTTTGAAAGTTATAAAAGTGTATAACTTCATTGGTCCTTGAAACTAGAGCAAAATCTTTCACATAATAACACTCCCAAATGTGTACTAAATGAATAGACAAAGAATGGAGGAAAAAAGAAATCAACACTTGGACAGAGTGGTAAAGGCAAAAACTTAGCTGGAATAAGTTTGAGAATGAGAGCTGAATATTGGAACCTATTGTCTAGACATAAGTACTAATATTATCATCACTGTTATTCTCAAGCAGAAAAACAATAAAACCAAGCAAAATTTACATTTGTTAGAAATAATCATGCTTTGGGCCTCCCTGGTGGCGCAGAGTTTAAGCGCTGGGCTGCGAAGCCGCCCGCAGCCTCTGCAGCGTCGGTTCTATCCCTGGCCGCTGGCAAAGGTCCAACATGGTGCGCAGACCTCTCCTGCCACGCCTGCTGCTCCCCTCAGCAATGTACTTCATCAGTCTGCCTTCTCTGCTCTCTGCTCTGGTGAATTCTCACACCCTCCCCCGCTTCTGATTGTACCCCAGTGCTTGTATAAATAAATAAATAAATCTTAAAAAAAAATCATGCTTTATTCAGTCTGCCTTCCTTTCCTCCTCCATCCAAGGTGATTTCCCAAAGCTTTCTGCATGATAAGCAAGATTTTCACTTTCCACTTTGTTTCTATCTCTTCCCCAGAACACATTTCTGATTTTATGATAAGGAGATGACAAACGAATCAGAAATGCTGACACTCAAGTTGTTGGAGACTTTTGAGAAATAAATATAGTCTCTATAGAGTAGCAGCACTATGGAGAAGCAGGTGCATTTGAACCCACATCCTCAAGCTGTTGCAGTTTGGAAAGAACATAAGGAGGTCCTGAGAACTCAGGGATGGGAACGGGACCAAAAGGTACTTCCATGCCAGAAGCTGAGGTCAGGGCTCAGGGTGCTGCCCTTGGACTGTGCTGGCTCCAAGCCTCAGGTTGATGCCTAGGGCCTCCAACACTAAGGATGCCAGCAAAGCCAAGTATATCAACAAAGCCAAGTGCTTCTGCAAAATCTAGTGCGCCATGCACAGAATGTGGAACCTGCAAACAAAGAGTATGGCTGAGCTGAGCCAACTTGCAAAGGAGAGTGGTTGGGAAGGTTTTCCCCCATGACTGTAAAATTGGAATCCTCACATCTTTCTCTCAAGGCTGTTTGGAGTATTAACTGGCATAATAGGAATGTAAGCTAGAACATAGTACCTGGTATGAATAGATTCTCGAAGAATGTTAAGCAAATTGGAATTTGCATTTTATATTCTCGAAGGAAAGGAATGCCATTGCAAGGAAAATTGCTCTTTGTAAGTTTTGCCTATAGCAGTAATGGCTTGGGGGCGTGGGCAGTGGGAAGCAAAAGACAAAATCCTCAAATAGTTTCATCTCCAGCTTTTGATCCTCAAAGTGAACTCTAATTTGGCTTCTTTCAGCCCTTCTGAGGACTGAAAGCCTATGCAGCTAGATAGAGCCAAGGATGCCCGGCCTCCTCCATTGTGGGCTCTGATTCCTCATTCAGTGCAGCAGCAGACATCTGCTCGGCGAGCCCTTTGAGGGCGTGACAGAGAGGCAGCGCCTTTGAATTGAGCAGATTTTGCAGAACTTAGATCTCTAGAAGAAATGACTGAAGGGTGTCCGAATGTGAATAGGGGCTGGCTGCCTGTCCACTGTTGCCCTGTGACCCTGGTGAAGAACACTGCAAGGATCTCTTGCTAGGCCCCACTCTCACCCCAGAATGCAGCTCCTGCCCGAGGACTGAGGTCTGGAGCTCGCTATACAGTCCCTGGCTGGGTTATGATTATGGGCTGGATTGTCTCCCCTCACCCCTCTCACCCCCTCCAGTTCATCGGGATTGCCTAACCCCTAGTTCAGACCACAAAGCTTTAACCCCCAGAACCTCAGAATGTGATTGTATTTGGAGCTAAGGCTTTTTAAAGAGCAACTACGTTAAAATGAAGTCATTAGGATGGATCTAATCCAGTCTGGCTGGCGTCCTTATAAAGTCAGAGATTAGGACACATGCACACACACACACGCACACACGCACACACACACACACACAGGTCATGGAGAAGGCAGCCACCTGCCAGCCAAGGACAGAGGCTGCAGAAAGGAACCAGCACTGCCTTCTCTGTGCCCTGCAACCCTCAACTGCAGAGAGGGGTCACTCAACCACTGTTCCCACAGCCCCAATGAGGAACTGAGTTTCAGAAGGGAGCAAGCTTGTCCTGGTCTCACAGAGATCAGGCAGCATTGGTATTTGAACTCAGGGCTGCCTGGCTCCAAGCCCAGGGTACAGGCACTGCTTCTGGAGGGAGGGCAGTGGGGGTTGAAAGGAAGCTTTGAAAGGGCTCCTTTTTCCATGGTCACCCACAGTAGGTCTCCTGCCTCGATTCTATGACCCTCTCAGGAAGCTCACTTACCTCACAGGGGCTGAACAATTTTCAACATCATTTGGATTCACTTTAAATTATTAAGTGAATGTGCATGTGTGAGGCTGCACACTTTAGGGGTAGAAGAGAGAAGCTGAATCATGATGTCAGAGGAAAGCATAGGGATCAAACAGAGGTCTGGGAATCCATGCTCTCCCGACCTGTCCTGGACTTTGCACTATTATCTGAGCACAAACTCCTGAAACACTATCTGGCCACAGCAATCCATTCCCTTCTTCCAGGGAGGTAGGACCTGCCTAGAGGGAAAAGACCGGGACTGGCACATCCATGGCTCCCACAGCACCTGGCATGGGACCAACCCACATGCTTTCTGAGATTCCTGAGCAAATGTTCTCAGGTCTTTGGGCACGTGGGTGATGGTAACATGAGAATAAGGGCTGGTTAGTCAAGAAGAAGTTTGGGCATCTGGCATGTGAGTGCAGCAGGGACACTTATCAGCTCAGCAAGCAGCTTGTCAGGCCCAGCTCCCACGTTAAACTGCAGTGCAGCAGCCAAGGAGACTTGCTTGAGCTTGGAAGTGCCAGGTCAAGGGCCCGGAGATCAACTCCTCTCCCACTCTGCTGCTCCTGCTGTTCTGTCATGGGCCCCCTTTCTAGTCATCATGGCCCACTGTGACCTAATTATTTGCTCACTGTCAGAAATGACCTGGTCACCCCTCATCCCATCATACACATCTCCAGGCTGGAATGCCCTGTAAACCATTTGCAGCGACCTGATGAGAACAGAAGAATAGCCTGGAAGCTGTCTGCTGAGGGTAATTCAAACTCTAGGGAGAAGCAAAGTAGGGCGTGGCTGTGCTCATCTTGCCATGGTTTGAGGAATGTTTTGCCTAGAGATCAATTTGAATTGGGTCTTGAGAGGTACGTAGGAGTTTTCCAGTGGGTCAAAGTGGGACATAGTCTTGCAAAGAGAAACTTCCCCGAGGCGGGTAGGGGAGAGGGGGTGGGATGGGCACAGGTCAGATAGGGCCAGGCGGCTAGAGGCAGGGGCCAGGCAAAAAGCAGCAAGCCTTGTGTGATTTGTCCTGGGAGCTGGATGTCTTCCCAGAGGCAGTTTAAAAATAAAACAAATACCAGGATGTTTAAATTTATGCTTTAGAAAGATATCCAAAGGGCAGACAGACAAGGGAGAGAGACAGGAGGCCAGAGGTGCAGGGATGAAGAAATCACCAGAGACAGAGTAGAGAACAGAAAAGGTAGATTTATTGAAATACCCTGCAAGGGAGCAGGGGGGAAAGATGGGAAATACCTGCATGGGAAGAACTTGGGGTTCCCTTTTATAATCTTTTTTCACAGGTTTTTTTTTTTTTTTCATAACTGGGGGAGTCAGTCCCTGATGATTGCTATCTGCTGGGACATCAGGTTTCGAGGGGTCTTTTGTGGAGGAGGTCTCCTGTCTGGCTCTGTTTACCCTTTTTCTACATCTGAGCATATAATTCCTGCCCATGGCCAGGTTCCCATGGCAAGACAGAAGGTGGGGACATGAGTGGACACATATGTGAATTTCCTTGTGGAACTGTTAGGGGGAAAGGAAGTCCTGAGCGAACTCCACACAGGTTTTGTGGACTCCACCCCCACTCCATCAAGACACTGGGAACTACAAATCCCATGACCCCAAAAGGAAGTTGCAAGGACCTAAGGGCAGAGTTTAAGCAGCCACTTTCTCAGTTTGTAAATAAAACCAGCCATGTGAGTGGGATCTCAGGCACTTGGCTTGTGCTCTTGGCCAGGCAGGTTTGGTCTCGGCAGGTCACTTGGGATTCCAGGTCAGCAGAATGGGTAGGACGCATTTAAGAATTTATCACCCTCTTTTCTCCCTGAGTTGTACATTTCCTCATTTCCCCTTCCCTTGTAAATAACCTTTGCTAACCTTTTGTGTGTGCCTGCAGTGTAAGTTACTTTTAAGTGTGTGGGTGAGGACCCACAGTCAGGCAACCCGTTTTAGAGTGGGGTTGCCCCGTCACAGAACTGTATAAGAACCTATTATGATCTCTTGTTTTTTAAATGAGAGTTATAGCTTCAGAGTTTTCTGGAAGGGAAGGTGCCTTTGCACATCAAATCCCCAAATCCCTACCCCACATGTTCCTGTGTTGAGCACAGATGCAGGCCAGCCAGAGACTCCCCACCCCACCCTGCTGGCTGGAACCCCAAGGTTACATGCTGGAGAAAGGTTGATGTGTCTTCTTCCTGACCTCAATGCTGACACTTCCACCTGCCCACGATCCCTATCACCCTACCTTAGACCACACCGCATCTCACTTGGAATTTACATATTCCAACAATTAGCCTCTTGGCTGGCCTCCCTGCCCCTCCAACCTATTTCTTGAAAATAGGAGATAGGAGAACTTAAATGTGGTGAGACTGTTAAATTTATCTTGTCCCCAGCAGTAAGAATCACACCTGGCAGAGTAAATAGTAAATAGTCCTTCATGAACTAATTATCAAATTAAAATCAGCCACTGAGGTCATTGGCATAATATGCTTCATTCATGGGTTATTTAGGTGCCTGACAGCCATACAGGGTGAATCATGAGACTTTCAGAAATTTGTGAATGCAGCTGAAACATACAATCTTCTCAATAAAATGTATGATTTGAATTGCCCCCCAGACTCTAAATAGGAATTACTGTATTCACAGCAGTGAGTTATCAAGCAATGAAACCAGGTTAATATATCTTTTTTCTCTGATTGTTTTTTTAATTTTCTTTTTATTTATGTATTTTGTACATCGTTGTACATCATTGTACATCATTTTTTGTACATCATTTTTTTACATTTTATTTTATTTTATTTTTTATTTAATTATTTTATTTTATATAGTTCTTACATCATTTTTCATCTTTGCACAATGTATGCATTTTCATTTTGGTTATATTCCCCATACAATTGCACCCCCCCTTATTTTGACTCTAGTCCTTCCTTTCCCCCACCCTCCCCTCCCCCCTCATTGTTCATTTTTAAACAATGTTTGTTTCCCCCCTCACCCTATGTGTAGTCCCCACAGAATTTCCTTTACCAAGGCACCCGTGCACCATCACCTCAGTCCCCTGTGCTCCTCCCTCCCTCCCTCTGATCCCTCTCCCTCCTCCTCCCCTGCAGATGTCTCTGGTTTATAATTGTCTGTTTGTTTTTGTTTTGTTTTGTTGTGCTTTGTATTATTGTTATTTCCCCCCCAATGTCTTATTTGGTTCCCCTATATTCCTCCTATAAGTGAAACTATCTGATATTTTTCTTTTTCCTTCTGACATTTTTTTTTAAAGATGTATTTATTTATTTATACAAGCACTGGGTACAGTCAGAAGCACGGGAGGGTGAGAGAATTCACCAGAGCCAGAGCGGGGAGCAGAGCAGGGAGAAAGACCAAAGTACACTGCTGAGGGGAGCAGCGGGCGGCAGGAGAGGTCTGCGTGCCATGTGGGACCCTCGCCCGGCGGCCGGGGATCGAACTGTTGCTGCAGAGGCTGTGGGCAGCTTCGCAGCCCAGCGCTCAACCGCTGTGCCACCAGGGAGGCCCCTGACTTATTTCACTGAGCATATAATTCCTTCTCGTTCCATCCATGTTGCTGCGAACGGCATGAGTTTATCTTTTTTGATTGCCAAATAGTAATCCATTGTGTATAGATGCCACATCTTCTTGATCCAGTCATCTATTTTTGGGCATTTGGGTTGTTTCCAGGTTTTACCTATTGTAAATAGTGCTGCAATAAACATAGGGGTATAGGTGTTCATTTGAATCTGATACTGTTTTTAAATAATTATTTTTTTTAATGAAGCACCATTGTTTTACATCCTCATTGATATTTTTACAGTAAAGGATTTCTCCCCTCAGGTGTGGTCACCATTGTTCTCCCACCAGCAAAACACTAACAGGTCTCTGCCCCAGTCCCTGTGCCTCCATTCTCAGCCCTGCTCATCTCCTTTTGGATGCCTCAGATCTCAAGTCTTCAAGGGTTGGTTTGAGTGTTTGTCTTTGACCCTTTGTTTGGTTCCTCAATATTCCACATATAAGTGGCACCATCTATTGTTGGGCCAATTAGCTTACATATTAGCTGACTTGTGTTATGTCCAAGAAAGATGGGGGTCTGCTGTGTTCCTGTTCAGGTAATAAATGAAAACCTCGACAATAACAACCATTTATGGGATATTAAATATGTACCAGTAATGCACACACACACAAATGCCTATGTATATACCACCCTTAATCCTGATCTGTTGAAAGGTAACTGTTATGGTCTCTACTTCACAGGCAAGATCAGGGAGATTCAGGGGAGAGACAGGACCTGTTCAAGGTCACAAAGGTAGTAAATGACTGTTCCATTGCACGTTGGTCTGACTCCAGCCCTGCCCTTGCCTGCATCTCCGGCTTATACCATGGGATGCTCATCTTGCACCTGCCTCATCTTTGGCATCCTGCTACCTCAGCCGATGCTTCAGCTCCCCACTATGCCAGAAGGAGGCTGCTAAGAACATCTGAGGGTACATGCACATCACCCCACAGGGCAAGGGATTTTTTCTTTAAAAAAAAAAGATTTATTTAAGGGGGTTGCAATTGTATGGGGAATATAAAAATAAAATTAAAAAATAAAATAAAGTAAAAAAAATTTTTTATGCATGCCAGAACTGGGGTACAGGCCAGAGGTGTAGGGGGTGAGAGGATCCACCAGTGACAGAGTGGGGAGTAGAACAGAAAGACAGACTGAAGTACACTGCTGAGGGGAGCAGCAGGTGAGTCAGGAGAGGTCTGCTGCGTCATGTGGGTCACCTCCTGGCCGGGGATCAAATTCATGCTGCTTTGGCTGTGGACAGCTTCATAGGCTGTCCCCTTAATCCTTTGCATCCCCAGGGAGGCCTGATTTTCCTCTCAGAGGAGACGTAAGTAATTATGAGCAATATGGCCTTTAGGGAAAAAATTAGCCTACATAGAAAGCGGGAAGGGCAGTTCTAAAGTCATTACCACCAGGATTTCTCCAGACTGGTGAAAGTCAACCTGTCTTGGGCGATTTGGATTTGGTTTGCTCTGAGGGTGGATGTGTCAGATTGATTTGCTTTGCTGTGTGACCCCCAGTTTCACTTCAGATGGCATTTCATGTTTCACATTGCTTGTGATCATCAAGGCAGATCCTTTCTCTGCCTCCTATGCTGAAACATGAGTTCTTTCAGTGTGACAATCAATTCCAATTCAATCCAATGCAGAGGGAACACAATAGGATGGCTGAGATCAGAACTCAGGCGTGAGAAGACTGAGGACTTAAGTCCAGCATCTCTGTTTATTAGCTGTGTGGCCTTGGGCATGTTACTTAACCTTTCTGCCTTCATGTGTAAAGAGGCAATGTGAAGGGTAGTAGAACTTTGGTGGGGGTATATACACTTATTGAAGTGTGAAGCTATACTAAAACATATTGTGTTTTATGTTGCACAATAAGTATTATAAACCAATGGTAAATCAATTTAAAAAATAGCTAGTTCATCATGTTTTCCTAAGAATTAACATGAATAGTCTCTGAAGACTGTCATTCAGTAAAGGGAACTATAAGCACTCCTGGTGCTAATGGCTGCTAAGACACTGGGGCAAGTCTCATCTGAAGCAGTTCCTATTCCTAGACTTTTTTAGTCTTGGGAGTCAGATTGATTTTTGTTTATTTGTTTTGTTTTACTGCTGTATACGCATCCGAAAACATCCAAAGCAAATGCTGGATGGTTGCGCAATAGTACAGTGTTCTAGTTTCTTCCTGGAGATGTGCTGAGCCCACTAGCACTCGTGTTTGTGGAACCAAGGACAGGCACTTATCTGGGGTGGAGAGTAGGGAGGTGACCCTCCACCACAATCCCCCGGCCCTGTGCAGCAACTGGTTTTCATTCCACTCCTCCAACTCATTGGAAGTTCACAGAGGCAAAGCCCAGGAATCCTCGGACATCCCTTATCTCTCTTCTTGACCCTCAAAGTCATGGTCAATGGACACACCATGTATCTGGGATTTACCTCTGCCAGATGTACTGATAATCTTATTTAGGAGATTTCTTAAATTTATAAACTACTTTGAGTTCCGGTCTTCTCATCAAAAGTTTGAGTCTGCTAAACCCATACACTCTCCAGTGGGAATCTGGTGGCCACCAGACAGCACAAATCATGGCTATGGAGTTGTGTGAGCTGTTCAGAGGCGGCAGTGCCTCTGGCTGGTAACTTAGAAATCCCAGGGAGAATTCCCCAAAGCCACCTGTGATGTGACTTTGATCAGAGATAGGTCTATAGAGCGGTTGGAGGGGGCATCTGGGAAAAAAAAAAAATACTGGAAACAACATCACTTTCTTAGAAAAGCTGCTTAAAGAAGCCTACCCAGAGCGATTGTCCTGATCTTTCAAGCCAGCCATATGACTGGATATAGCCCTAGCGTGGCCATTTGCATGTCTTCCAGAAGAGGCCTGGCAGCCCGGAACATATCCAAATCAGTTGGGAATATTTGTGTGCATGACAGCTTTTCCCCCCTCACAAGATAATAAGTTAGGTCACATTTCAGATTTAACCCACTTGACATTTTAATATTCTTCTAATGTGCTTTTTGATGTGTGCAGATGAGGTGCAGTGTAGGAACAAGTTGCTATTTATATAGTCCTGGCAAGCAGATTCCATCAAGATCAGCTCCTCTGTTCATTTGGGTGCCTCTAAAGTTGTTAGAACTTCAAGATTTTGACTTAAAGTTATTTCTTAAGTTTTAAAGAAGAACAAGAGAATGGTGATCCCCAGATTTCTTCCCTTGTGGCAAAAAAGTATAAACATTATTAAAAATCCTGAATTGGAGTGGAAATGCCTGGCACTTAATACCTACCATTGAATATGGAGTAAGTAAATTAATGGGTGTAATGTCTTAACACTGAGATTGACCCAGGGGCCAAACACCAGAAATGCCAGTTTTAAAATTACTTGCTAATATCATCATCATCGTTATCATCATCATCCTGGCTGTCATTCTCATCACCACCACCGTCATCACCATCATCACCACAACAACCATCATTTCACCATTAGCATCAGCATCTTCATCCTCATCCTCACTATCATCACCACCATTATCATTCTCAATGTCACCACCATTAGTTCATTATCAATACTGTCATCATCATTTTCCTGACTCATTCATGTATTGCTTTTACAGTATCCTTGTGCAAATCCCTTTCTCTCTGTGAGTCTCATTTCCCTTTTTGTAAAACTGGGTAATAGTTACTATCTTTCAGGACCATTAGGAGGAGTAAGTAGGGCAGAGTGAGTCCTGGGGAAGATTTGGGGACCCTTAATGCTCCCAGTTATAGCTCACCTTACAATTCCTATGCATGATTCATTTGCTTCTTTATCTGTTCTTATCTCCTAGACTTGGCTGTTACTTAACTAAGATATAGAGCCTGGGTATTTCTGTTCTTCAGAGTCCTGTGCTAGCCTGATGAGAACCCAAGAAACTTTTCAACTTGAATCCAATTCCTATCACAAGCAGACTTGTGATGTCCTTAAGTGCATGTCCTTGAACAATTTTCCTCTTCTACAAAATAAGGCAGTATGTCAAATTGGTAGTTCCCAAAGTGATCCAGAGACCCTAAGTAAAAAAATACCCACTGTATTTATTAGGAATGCATGTTTCTGACTCCCCGGTATACACTCACTCATCAGACTCTGGTGGGGCTGCAGGACCTGAATTGTAATAAGCTTCCCATGGAGCTTCAAGTGCACTAGAGCTTGATGAAATAAATTCAACTTTAAATTATGATAGTCTCTGGGAAGAGGGTCACTGAGTGACCAGGGACTACATCTGTTATGTTAAAACTCTACCCCAAAAGCATGTTTGTGAGAGTTGATAAAGTTGAAAATGTATAATCCATGGAGCCCACAAACTCAGTTACCTTCCAGACAGAAACATTTGAATAATGTTCTAGGTTTCAGCTCATTCTGCCAAATCTCAGTGCATTCAACTACCTCTGTTTTGGGGGAATAGAAGTTCTAGTCACAGACCAAGCTGTCCACCCAAAACTAAATAGAATATTTAAAAGTTTAACAAATAGAACAGGCAGTTACAATGGACATTAGCTCTAAAAAAAAACCAATGTTATCATGCCATGCAAACTGGAAGGGTGTCATTCTCACCTAGCACCCTGGGAAAGGTTTACAGTCCTCTCAGAAGGGATGCTGAGACAGATGAAAATTATACCCGAATGTCTTCTATCCTTCTCCCTTTCATTCCTGCCTACCTGCCCAATTATCTGCCTTGGAACAAAGTGCAAAGACCTCAATGAATGAAAATCAAGTACCGAAACAGGATCGCAGAAAATAATGGATAGTAAGTCCATTTTAAACCTTGGCTTGCATTAAATGAACCAGTGAAGACAGTTTAAAGAAAGATGCAGTTTATTTCTGCTTCCTATAACTTTTCTTAGGTAAATCTGACATGAAAGAAGATGGGTGGGTAGATAGATGATAGATAGATAAATAGATAGATAGATAATCTTAATTCTATTCCTTATTCACTATGCACTTATCACATGTAAAGCACTGTATTTTCTATTAATATTCCATTTAATCCCTCAGTAATCATACAAAGTAAATGATGATGATGGTTTTAGAGAGTGAGAAACAGAAACTCAATGATATTGAGCAGTTGACCCAAAGATGCATAGATACTACCAGTCAAAGTTAGTGTTCCTTGTCCTAACCGGTGGGCCATGCCACTTGCTGTGGGTTGGGTGACCCTACAGAGGTAGAGGTTCACACACCAGAATGAAAGGGCATAAGACAACAGAATGAAAGGAGATGGGGATGGGGACTGTGTGACCTTGTGAATAGAGACATAGTAGGCAAATGATTTTCCAGATATGGCTTTTTCACCACTAAGTGAACTAACTGTTTGTGTTCATCTTTATCTGTTAAGGCAGTGGACACAGCAATTCAGTCAGGGACACAATTTCAGGTTCAAACAGACCCAGGTTCAAATTTTGATGGTGCCACTTGCTCACTGTGCAGCCTTCACCAACTTTCAAAGCTTCAACTTCCTCATCTATAAAGCAGGACTCTTTTTTTAAACATACTTGCTTGAGTCATTTTCTTTAATGAGGTAATGCATGTGCAGTGCTTAGCAGAGGCACTGGTCCATAGTTAAGTGTTCAGTAAGTGAAAACTTGATATTCCTAAAAATAAAGTTAAGTGAATTCACATTTAAAATTTTTACTTTATCAGCATCCAAAGTACCTGGGAATAGAATTATTTTTTTGATACAGTAAATATATATCATCAGATAAAAGTTCCCATGAAGACTCAAAAATATAATTTTTAAGAGAAAGCTCTTATAAATGTGCTTTGAATTGGTATATATATATATATATATATATATATATATATATATATATATTTTTGCCAAGTCTCTAACTTTATATTCCTTGACAGAGATAACAAGGTTCCCAGGAACATGACTGTTATCCAAACAAACGAGACTCCCTTAACTTCACACACACAACAATAATGGCTTCCCTGACAATTCCTGAGAAAAGAATATGTCTCAGGCCTCCCCTGGTGGC